TTTTTACCACTTTTATTTGTAACTAACGTTACTGCAGTTTCGTCCTATAGGTATGGACATTCTCACATTTATACAACAGTTTATATACAGTTTATTGTATAAGCATTTATACAACAGTTTATTGTATAAGTTTGAGAATGTTCATATAGGACGAAACTGCAGTAACGTTAGTTACAAATAAAAGTGGTAAAAAACATAGAAATTTTCATTTCTCTTTTCATCAAAAAAAGTAATTTTAACAAAATATTCCCCATAATATATTATTCGTGGATTACAAAAAAGAAATATGTTCGAATCAACCTGTTGGTATGTATTCACAGTTTTGGAAATCTCGAAATGACTCGCAGAATTTTTAAATTTACCAAATCCTTAAAATTACACAGGCCATAGGCCATAGCCTCCGTCGAACCTCGGCGATATTATTTGCCGATATTGGTGGAAACATCACCAATTTGAAAAGACACACGGTGACTGGAAGTCTACCAATGTCGCTGAAGGATTTACATTGACAGTTCACTTACAAACAAAATTAAAACTGCCAAGTTTTATTATCAGATGAAAACGATCAATGTGAAACGTTTGTTATTTTGTTCTGACTATTAAATGATCTTCGATATTGAACCTTGGGTCATAGATAAGATCACCTTCAGATAACTTATTTCTGCCATTAAAGTAGTTTCGACATTAATACGAACAAAGCGCTGTTATTAGATAAGATCGAAATTATGTTAGTAATGCTATTTGCCTAAATTATTTCCTGAATTTTTAAAAATATTCAGGTTGGAGATGAATTTCGCTTCGTTATTACCTTTTTTTAATTAATATTGTTTTGAATGGCCCTTATATCGATGTGACCAACCCTCGAATCCATTAGGACAAAGGTAATGGATAATGATCTCATTCCAAAAATGAGCAAAGAGAAGTTAAGCAAAATAAAAGAAGATTTAAAATTTATATGTGCCAAACGATCCCGTAAATCTGCCTTAATAGAAAGAGAAGATATAGTCTCATGGCCTGGAGATATACGGAAGCGCATAAAAGCCCCATATTTTTATTATTTGTTTCATATAAATTACGACTTTGAATCTTGAAATTTCGACTTTAAACTCGAAATTTCGACTTTGATCTGGTAATTTCAAAATTACGACTTCAAACTCGAAATTTCGACTTTAAACTCGAAATTTCGAGTGTAAAGTCGAAATTTCGAAATTAAAGTCGAAATTACGAGATTAAAGTCGAAATTTCGAGATACAAAGTCGTAATTTCCAAGAAAAAAATAAAAAAATATGTGGCCCTTCTGCGCTTCCGTAGAGATATCTTCGCTCTATTAGAGAAATGCGTTCTGCTCTCAAAAATATTTATTATCTGGACGAAACGTGGGTGAATGCTGGTCACACATTATCTAAGATCTGGCAAGATACTATTGTAACTAGTTATCGTCAAGTATTTGTGGACGGTTTATCAACAGGGTTACGCGGACCAACGGGTAAAGGGCAACGACTAATTGTCGCCCATGTAGGTAGCGAGAGTGGCTTTTCAGACGATAGTGCACTAACGTATTCCAAAAACACTTTATTGTGAGATTTTCACTAAATTGTTTTACAAAAACGCAACACGTGTTTCGCCATACAATGGCTTCATCTGGCGTGTGCACTAATATTTTTATCAAAGAAAACGGAAGATTATCACGAAGACATGGACGCCCAACGCTTTGAAGGATGGTTTGAATCCCTTCTTTCACCACGAGTCGAGCCAAATTCGGTAATAGTAATGGATAACGCTTCTTATCACAACCGATTAGTAGAACAGCTGCCAACTATGACCACCAGAAAAGCAGACATGCAGAGTTGGTTAGGACAAAAAGGAATTCCATTGTCCAAGGACATTGTTAAGGCCGAGCTTATGATATCGCCAGCATGTGGTCACAGCATAGGTAACAATTAGCAATGTCACTTCGCTTGGCGGGAGAAGTTCGCACATATCCGTCGCGTTGATGAGTCCGCCATTTTGGGAAGTGGGGTTTCTTCCAGAAGGTGGCTGAAAGCATCTAGTACGGCTTCGTTAATTTTCAAATTAAGAAATGACCAATCCAAAGTCGTTCTTTGCTTGATTCTTGTCGTAATATTTCCATTTGGTAGTTCTTGTGTGTTAATTCTGAGAAGGATTTTTCGGATAGATCGTACTTATACTGAATAATCGTTGGCTTGCCCTCTGGACTCGAATCCACTTAATATGCAGCCAGTTAACTTCAACATTGAATACATTTCCTGAAATATCTCCTTTAATATCAACAAAATCTGTGTATGTCATCGTCGTCACTTTATATGGTGACGGTTTCATCCTTGCTCCTGCTATCAATTACCATATTTGGGCACAACAAAGATACATCAACTATATACTCAAAGACGTACTTAACACAGTTTACCCCTGAATTGTACTTAACACATCTGTGCGCTAAACCATCGATACTACCTTTTTAGGGTCAAATTATGTATTTATTTGTATAGATTCGATATCTTAATGAAACGTAGCTAAATATTTTCTTTGGATAGTCTGGTTCAATCTTAATACCCAGTTTCATTATTTTTCAAATTTTTCTTCACTCCTGAATGTATTTCGATTTGTTTACGAAATTTTTGACAATTCAACTCAAAATCATGCAACGATTCGTTATAAAACTGTATATTCTATTATTTTTTTCTGCCTTGGTGGAATTTGTATTCGAGTGAACACGTAAAGTTGACTTAACACACGTGTTAAATCGCGTGCCAATTATTGAAATCAAGAAGTAGGTATTTATTATCACTAACACAGAGACCTGAAGTGAATTATATTTACCGGAATTCGGTTCCGACCCAAGATAATAACAGTAACAAACTCACTCGACCGTTCATTCGGTAAATTGGGTTTAAGTGACAAGGCGATCAAAATGTTCAAAAATAATTGTTTCCAATTCGTTAGGAGTCAAAAAACTTTGATTGAACAGAAATATAACATATCTACAGCGTGGAATTATATAATATGTATATGAAGGGTGTTTCTCAATAGAATGCCTCTTTTAGTTTAAAGTTTATTGATGAAGCGAACCGGATACACCTGCTAATAACTAATAATAATGACCTTTGATGGAATTCATTCAAACGAAAGTATGTTCTCAATTAACGATTGTAAATTATATGTGATGGAATTGGCCAATACTCGATAGATATCCTTAAGGTATTCAAGTAAATCGTAAGATGTTTCACTAGACAGTTTACAATACCGAAATACGTGTTTCGGTGTTGATAGTGACTGAATTATACCAAATTAGTGATTTGAATAATAACAATTTGAGCTCATACCTCTCTGCCAAAAAATTGTTTGCAAACGTGGAATTGGGTTTCATGGTTTCATGGGTTACTATGTTCTTTGATTCTTTAGGAGAAGTTTTTCTCCGTTTGGCGAACCTATCTTCCAACAGCTCCCCTTTAATAATATAGTTAGGGAGATAACTAATTTCGTTATTCAATAATCTGATTCTGATTATATAAGAATCACAATATATATAATAAATATTTCGTTTATATATAGGTGAGTGGGAAAGTAGGAATTCAAATAACAGGGTGATAATTGAAAATACTTCTGAATACTTCTTACTTACATATATATACAATCGATAGCTTCAAAAATACTTCACTAACTTTCTTTGAAAGCTTCTGATAATTTCTCTTTCATAAGCTCTGTTTCACGATCATTGTCGTCATTTGAATCAATAATGAATTTATTTCCACCATTAATATGGAAGTTTCCAATCTCCATATAATGTTTTTCTACTAAAATTACTTTTTTAATCCTTTTCTGCCAGTCTTCTTTGGTAATATTAGATACTTCTTCTTTAATTAGCTCTATTACCTGCTTATCAAATTTTGAAAAAATATTTTTACGCCTGATGCTTCGTTTCAATTTTCTCCAAATCACCTTGATGGGATTGAAAACATAGAAATAGAAAGAAAGTCTCAGTATGGTGTGTCTATACTTTTCAGCAATACTCTCAAGGGCATACCCTTGGGGAAGTAACTGGACACTAAATGAAAGGATTAATACTGGTCGACTAGGTTTCTGAATTAACCCCACTTGATGTTTCATGTAGAGGTAGAGTGTCATAAAACAGAAAACTCACAATTGCCAGTTGCCCAAAAACGATGATCTGAAACTGTATTGTAGACGTGAGGCGTAGAAGATTTCAAATCAAGTTCATTGATTCGAAAAGTGGAAAAAGTAGAATGGAATACGATTTTTTTCATTCAGAAGATTAGAAACTTTTCAATTAAACTATGTCTTTTATAGGTAACCATATAAAGTTTTTAGTGGTTCTCATAGATCCTCACCTGAGATGGGACTTTCATATCAAGCACATTGTAGACAAATTGGGATGTATATTATACAAGTTTCGTCAACTGAAAGGTATACTTAACATTGAACAAAAAAAAAATAATTCAATTTGGTTCCAAGCCATATGATATACTGCATAATAGGATGGAGTGGGGTATCCAAATCACATATTCGCCCACTGGAAGTCTTTCAAAGAAAATTTTTGAAACTGGTGTTGAATAAACCGCCCCGTTATCCCAGTAATATGCTATATAAACAATCAGGAGTATTTGATCATAGACAGCTGTTTTACAAGTCACTGGTATTGAGTCAATTTAAGGAAGAAGAAACATTGTGTAGGCCAAGCCATAACTACGCCACTCGAAATAAAAACAGGTACATAGCACCATTTGCACACAAGTCAATTAGCAAATAAACATATCACATGTGACCAAATTTTAATAACCATATTTACATTTTGTAGTAAAACGGATATTTAGTGGAAATAAGTTTGATGTTAGCAATCAATTAAATCAAAATTAATTATCGTATGCAGCCTATCTTCTGCATATGGGCTGACAATTTACAACTTTCTTTGATATTTCTGAGTTTTTTCAGAATCCGAATAAACATTATCATTTCTGTTTCAGATGGCATTACGCGCTGCTACTGGGATTATTGATTGCTTCTAAATCGAAAGTAAGTTCACAATTTTCATAAACGTTTGAATCGTTGTGGTATAATCGTTACATTTTTCCTTGAGAATGACATCAGCTACGACGTGAGATTAATTATAAAGTATTTTATCTCCATCTTTATACAAATATATGTGGGAATCTTCCAAAGAAAGTGAGAAAGCAATCGAATTCAAAAAATAATTCTATACAATGAGTAGATTATGCAAAGAAGTAACTTTCAGACACAAACTGGAAGAAAAAGCCCTTCCGAAAGAGCTACTTTTGTATGAAGATTGAATTACACGAAAGAAAAATATTTTCCAAACAAATACTTTAATTAAATACACTGAATTATACATAAAACACTTTTCTCTATTCAGTTTGTATTCCAAACATTCTTTATGGAATTGAATCATATATAAATCACAGGATGGCTACACAATATAGTAGATGAAAGAGGTAAAAAGTTTCGCTTAGATGCAACACTGTCGTGACAGTATGTCACGACTGAGTTTATTCTACTCATGTCAACGATGACAGTACGTGATGACATTCATTCGCTTATTTGATTGAATCCCAACCATACGAATCTTGTTTAAATGGAAAGGAGTATATTTTTAGGAAAGACTGATTTTTGAAACAAAGGTTTTGACTTTCTATTTTTCATCTTTATACAAAAAATGTGGGAATCTTCCAAAGAAAGGAAGGAAGCAGTCAATTTAAACAAATTAACTCTATATACATGCGTGTAGATCATGTACATGCATGTAGATTCCCACATTTTTTTGTATAAATATGAAAAAGTAGAAAACCGAAACGTCTCTTTCCCAAAAATATTCATATAATTCATGTAATTACTCTTCGGTCTGAAGAGTAATTTAAAGTCATACATTTCCAAGCACATACCAAAGTTGATTGAGCAAACTGTCGAACTGAAACTCTTTGTTATTGTGCAACAAGTTATTGGCATATAACCCGGGTATATCAAAGTAGGTACTTACATATTATCACAACTGAGCATAATAAATTTGTTAGTCTTATACAAACTGTCTTGGTTGGTAAAATTAGGCAAAAGTTGTTTCAGATCGCGACTATCAATAATTGTTTTCGAAATATTCGTGAAGAACTAAAACTGCCGGATTTCTATTAGTCCGGTCAATTTAGACATTCGAAGCTACCTAAATTCCCACCAAGCNTTCTTCTTTTTGTTGGTTCTTTTAGGGATTTCAAATCATTTCATATAGTGTCAGACAATGGAAATCCGAACTAATGAAATTCATTCTCAATTGCGTTTTCTTTTATATCTGTATAAATTATAGACACTTCAAGATGTACAGTAGAATAATACAACCAGTAGGCTCTCTTACCACGTGATCCGCCCGAGTTGCCGGGGACCTTCAACCGCTCTTAGGATGAGATTCTCATCCAATGCGTTCAGTGCTGTAGTATCGAAGGATTTGACGGTACCACGGATATCGGATAAGTTATAATAAATGGTCGGAAATTGTTATTGTATTTGGTTCATTCGCTGTTGTTATTATTGCTTTTAGTTTTTGTAGTTGGTTATAAGTAATTTACCACAAAATATTCTATAATAACCTTAAATTTCGTTTTTATTAGAGCGCACGCCTATGGTAAAAGAACGAAATTTGCTACACACTTCGTTCCTAGGTCACCGAAAACTTTGTGAATTTATGAATGAAAGTAGTGAGAGTGGACTTACTGGTTGATTTTTACTATGACGAAAGTCTGGAATGCCATTTGATGTCATATCGTAATTATTTGGTTGTTAAATGGTTGTGGTAACCCGAAAGATGAGGGTTTATTTTATCAATACTGTCCCAGTCTTTCTGCTCCAGTAAGTTGCTAAACTTCAGGTGATATTTCAAAGGTTGTTTATTATTTGTTACTAGTTCCTTCCGTGTCTGATGGATTCTCTCCTGCGATAAGGATGTCTCCATCCTGTTATATATTCGCTGGGCTTGTGGTGTATTAATAATCATCTTTGAATGTATTTGTATCTCTGCAACGTAAAAGAAATGTTAGAGAACATAAAACTTGAGCTTTTTTTGCGTGATGTTTTTAGTCTCCTGACAAACTGCAGTAGGCTCCCCGTAGAGTCGACTAATATAGGAATGTAGGCTTTTACGGCTGGCGTCAATGTTTTGGTGGGTTTCCGGGTTTTGTCGTGGTCTTCTTTGGTTACAATCTCTAAACGTTTCAACTGCAACTGCGGCAGTCTTCTTCAGAAGCGTGGTCGAAGGACTCATCTTGACTTGTCAACTGAAACTGGAGCTCCAGAGATCTGGCACACAGCATTGAAAAGGGCCAAAACGAAGTCAAATCACCCAAATCGCGCGGGAAGTACGCGCGAACCAATACATCTGAAAAATGTTTCTGTTGGAGTCAATCACTCATTTTCCCCACAAGAAGTTGTATTCTAATGTTAATGAAATATATTTTGTTTCAGTATTGTAATGGCGAGTCGTTCGAAGATACAACACAAGTGGAATACAGTGTCAGCAGTAGTAGCAGTGCGAGTGTAGGTAATGAAAGACTTATCGAGACTGAAGATGACGATGACGACGTCGACGAAAAACCTGCCGAAACAGCTGCCCTATTGGATATATCAAATCACACGAGAGAGGCTCTTACTCAGGAAGCAAACTCGCCAGAATCGGTAAGAACCATCACTGAAAATAAACCTCTTAAAGTCCTCTCAGCGAAGTGATCGAACATAAAAAAATCCAGGAAAAAAAGGAGTGTAAAATAGTTATTTTTGTATTAAGTGCCTAAAATGAGTGTTTTTTAATGACACATGAGAGTGGAGTATATCAATTCTCTCGAACGAGAATTGGTATACTCCATTCAAATCAACTCATCTCCAGATGATGCTAACTTGGTTAGCGAATTGAGCGTCGAGGGGAGTGGGATAATACTGAACTCAAACAATCATTTTCTCTGTGGTATATAAATAAACCTTATTCTTAGTATACGTTGAAGTATATGTGTGCTTTTCTATCTACCGAGGATATATCGAAACCATCAAATATGGACATCTTTCCATCCGGTTTCGCAAGATATGTTCAGTGTCAATGAAAACCCAATTAAAAGATAAGTTTCGTCAAGGAAACGCTTAAATTTCTACCTGTTGTTATACAATGAAATTTTCAAGATAGTGGATCTACCGTGTTACAAAAGGAAGATCGTCTGATATTTCTTTGAAACGAGCGAATTATTGTTTTACACAAACATTTTAAATTAACATATGTGTCAAATGAAAGGATTTGCTGAAAAGGATACATGAATTAAAATGTAGTTATTCTAATTCCATTACGGTGGATCGACTAAAATGACGAATTAAGTTATTTTTAATGCACACAAATGATATAAGTGTCATAAATAAATCAATGGTCAAAACAAATATACTTCAAAACATGATTTCATTTACATATTCTGAGACGGAACATGTAAATTAAAAGTTGTTTTTAAAGATTCTTACCATTGAGCAAGTCTTTAAAAACTATGGCATTGACTTCGTTTTCAAGTGCGTATATATATATATAACCAAACAAGAGAAATTAACATGTTCTTTAAATTTTGTAAAGCAAAACCAACTTCACATTCCTGATTGAACACCATGTTACATTCAAATGAATTACAGGAGTCCCAAAGTTTGCTTAGATTATTAAATATTTACAGCCACTCAGAATACCTTGCATCCATTCTCACTGGATGTTTCCAGAGAGTGAACGATCATCGATGACAATTACATACAAAATTATATGGATATTGTCTGCCTCACGCTCAGGACACAAGATTTCAACTCATCATCATGGTTGCGACAACTCTACATTTGAGTAGAGAGTATGCGAAGATCTACTACAGAAATGATCCTGTGAAGTATGATCTTACTGATAAACTGATTTTCAAATGTATTTGAAGGTTTCTTACGAAGTAATCTTAGTATAGTGGAAGTGCTGCCATCTCTCAACAGAAAGCTGTTTCAACTTTCATAGACAATACTTCAGCGCCATTGCACAGTAAAATAAAATGTCATTGAGAAGCAGAGCGAATAGTCATAGGATTGACTTCATGAATTGAAAAAGCGGAAAAAATGTAAATGTGTGTTTTGAAATATCGTTTGGTTTTTGTTTACAAACTTTAGAGAAACTGAATGTTTTTATGTCACTGTAATCTTGACTTACATTGATAAATACAATAATATACGGGATGTTCTGTAAGTGGTGATTTCAATCTCAATTGGTTGTCTTTCTTTGAAAAAAAAATCATAAAAACTTTGTCCTAACTTTCTTTGTTTTCAGAAAAGCAGCATGCAGCAAACAGATTTTTTGCATAAATTAGAAGAGACCTGAACAAGGGCGTTTCCAGCCAAGGGCAGAGGGGGCTGCTGCTCCCCCTGTAAGCTCAAAAATAAAAAGATAATGGAAATAAAATCACAATTGACAGAAAGACATAATAGAAAATGAATCGCAGAGCCATCTGACTTGAAATAGTTAAAGTAAACCTGAAGAGCTCTCACTATAATCTGTGCACTCAAGCACGCCAGAGGGTTCTGTAGCGTCACTTCTACCAACTTTAGTAAATGAACAATATTAGAAAACTAGAGAATAGACTCATAATTATGATGTTTTATACATGAGCTATTATTTCAAACTGCCAAATAAAATGTGTAATTTAATTTTATTCATAAAATATTATAAAGACAGAATGAAATAAAATACGATACATGTCACCTACCGGACTTAAACGTAAAATACTACCCAGTCATCAACACCAGCGCCCAACGTTCAGCAAGTTCTGTTGGATTTAATATAACAGCATGCAGCAAAAAACAGAACATAACATAATTTTATGTTGAGCATATTAGTCACACTCGATGTAAATATTAATTTTTATTACAAATTCGCTGGTAGGTACGTCACTGTCCCCAACACTTTCAGTACTTATAACTTATAGTTGCAGTTGAAGTTTCATTTATATTACTTAGATATTCAATAAAATAGCCCTCAATGTTAATCTGCATCCTATATTTTCCTTCTGAAAATAAATCACCACACTCCTTTATTCTAGCTAGAGTGTAAGATCACTNTTCAACTCGTCATCATGGTTGCGACAACTCTACATTTGAGTAGAGAGTATGCGAAGATCTACTACAGAAATGATCCTGTGAAGTATGATCTTACCGTTGAACTGATTTTCAAATGTATTTGAAGGTTTCTTGCGAAGTAATCTTAGTATAGTGGAAGTGCTGCCATCTCTCAACCGAAACCAATTGCAAGCTTCAGCGCCATTGATTGAGGCGAATAGTCATAGGATTGACTACGTGAATTTAAAAAGATTTAAATAGTATGGTGACAAACTCTTGAGAGTAGCTTGAACGGCAAAATGTAAACGTATGTTTTGAACCATCGTTTGGTTTCTGTTTAAAAGCTATTGACATCGTCCATAGATATTCTAATTATTGTTTATTGATGTATCCCAACATAACATGAATTTTTCCTCAATATTTACATTTGATATGTTTAAATATTTTTTTTTTGTTTTTATGTTAGAGTGACGAAAGGCGCGCGGAAGCCAGACTACCCGCTTTTGGCTCTATTTTCAGGGCTCTGTAAAAATTATAAATATTAAACACTTTGAGCACCTTATTAAATAGAATTCCAAAGAAAATATTTGTTCAATAAATTGATAGATGTAGCCGTTACTACGTGGTAGGAAATCATGATGAAGAAATGAGAATTGAGACTTTCTATGTTTTTTACCACTTTTATTTGTGATTAACGTTACTGCAGTTTGGCTACTGGAGTTTATTGTATAAGTTTGAAAATGTCCTTGTAGGACGAAACTGCAGTAACGTTAGTTACAAATAAAAGTGGTAAAAAAAATAAAAAGTTTCAATTCTCATTTCTTCAAGATATTTGTTGTTTATTAAAACTTGTTTTCTCTCTTCTTCTCCTGGCATAACTATTATATTCATAAAAATTTAAATATCCTGGACATTCATTAAAAAATGCATTTTATCGTTTCATGCATTTTTATCAAGCCTGAACAATAATGCTTTTTTATTTTCTGTAAAACAATTATAATTAAATTGTTATCACATACTCCACCTTGTATGACTTTCACAATAAGTATCCATCATTTCGTGTTTTTCTTTACTCAATTTGAGAGTGGTAAAAAGTTATTTACAAAATTCGATATCTCAAATACGGTTGAATTTAGAAAATGATGTGCTAATCAGTTTTGTTCAGAATTTCGAGGAGAATTGAAATATGGAGTAATATACAGGGTGTTCTATTAAAGAAAAATCAACTTTATTTCTTCAAGACTTTTTCACCGATCCTGTATACTCAATTTTTGTTTAGTGTGATAGATTTTATCAAAAAAAATTCTGTTAGCCTACGAATGTTTCAGTCCGACTGTTATAATTTCACACACACAAAAAATCATGCTCAGTTCATAACCAAAATGTGAAAAGGAGGAAAGAATTCTTGTTATTTTCAATATTATTTTTTGAAATGATGTACTATTCATCACAACGAAAGTCATCACTACTGAGCCTGTAATGTTCTGCACTGATGATGGTAATTTTTTCACGATGCTTCCAAAAATATTCAGGTTTCGTTTCGGAATAGTTGCTCGTATACATTACCAAATTAAGAACACCAAGAATTGTTGCTAACGACTTCTGTTACATTTACCGCTATGAGAGAATCTGGTATTGTCACATGGTGAATTACACTTTGTGAGCGTTTTATTACTTTCCGGAAACTGATGACAAAAATGGAACCATTGTTGGGAACAAATGCACAACTTTGCGAAGGAATGCATATTGGATAATTCATTCATTTAGGGAAGAGGCATGGCTTTTTTCACCCAAAAGAAAATGTATCAGATGAGAATTTACGAGGGTGGCCTCAGTAGTACCCAGTCTGACCTAGAGATGGCGGTAGTTGTTTGAAAAAAATCACTGTATTAAATAATACAAAATCTAAAAAGCATATGTTTCAAGTTTGAAGACGCTGCGTTGTTTAATATTTGTTTGGCAGCCGTCAATAGCGAACGTAATGTGATTCGATACTTTAATTTGAAAGGCCTCAGCCCAACCAATATGATATCCAGATGAACTGGATTCTACTCTGGGTGAGTCTGCTCCTTTGTTTAAAACAGTAAAATATTATGTAGCAGAGTTTAAACGAGGCCGTACGAGCTGCCAAGACGAGCATCGCAGTGGTCGACCAAATGAGGTGATGACTCCAGAAACGGCGAAGAAAATCCACAAAGCGGTATTGAATGATCGTCGAATGAAAGTACGAGAGCTAGCAGACTTAGTAGGCATTTCAAAAAGTGCGGTATGTCGTAATATTATCTGACAATTTGGTAATGAGAAAGCTCTGTGAAAGTTGGGTGCCGCGTTTGCTCACACTCGAGCAAAAACCGTGTCGCGAAGATGTTTCAATTGAGTGTTTAGCGAAGATTCACAGCAACAAAGCAGAATTTTTGCGTTGTTTCATAACCATGGATGAAACATAAATCCATCACTTTACACCCGAGACAAAAAACAATCAAAACACTCATCAGGGAGAACCGGCTCCAAAGAAGGCTAAGACCGTTTCATCTGCAGGCAAAGTCATGGCATCGGTTTTTTAATACGCGTGGAATAATTTTTATTCACTATCTTAAAAAAGTTGAAACTATCAACGGCGAGTATTATGCGAATTTATTGCAACATTCGAGTGAAGAAATCAAGCAAAAATGACTGCAGTTGACTAAGAAAAAAGTGTTTTCTGTTCGCAAACTTCCATTCTCTCAAAAAAAGCAACATTGAAGTATCAAAAAATATGAATAATTCATCAATTCTTTCGAATGTTACAAATTGCCGAAGACGTACGTTTGTATAGCTGTCTCTGTTTGAAGAACATAGTGCAAACGAGCATCCAAAGAATAACTCTCTCTAATTAAATACAAACGCTTGATGAAGAAAAGTATGCTATATAAAACATTCTGTTTCATCGCTCCAAGGGTAGACGTGGTATTCACAAAGAAGAAGAACAGTGAGAAAATCAAATAATTAAATAAAAATTTTACACAGAAATTTCACTGAATTAGAAAAGGCAACGTTATTCAAACAATTTGCACTTGATGCTGACACGACATTCTAAACAATGTATCTGACTGAAGTATTTTTGTTTTATTTTTTGCACATAATACTAGATATACAGGTGACATTGCAGTTTCGTGGTGTATTCCCCTTCGTTGGTAAACAGATATTGGATTGAGAACTATTTGTTTGAGAAAGTTAGCGTAATTGAATTTGAACCCTCTGATGTTTCAGAACTTGTTTCAAAATTGCTATTGGGTCTATTAGCAACCGCAGTTATATACCATGTATGCTATTTCCTCATTGATTTATTCTGGAATAATTTCAGGTTGTCGGAAGCAATGGTTTGGTGGTAGTGTCTGCTAGAAGTTCCGATTTGAATCACTTTGAGTTTTTTTTTAACATTTGCAGTTCATTCTTATCAGTAACGAAAAACATATTAGTAGTAAAAAGCCCAAGGAAATTGGATATTACAAAATTCTAATTTAATTATTGTATAATAATAATGATAATATAATAATAACTTTATTCACAACGTATACAAATTAGAGTACAATTAAAACAAAATATGTGAACAAAGTGGTTTGGCGATAAGAGCAGAGCTCTTGTTAACTCTGAACCATTGAAGGCAATGTATTTTCATTAAGTATAAATGGAAAGGATACTACGGTTTTGAATGTTTCCCTATAGATACTTTCCAAAATAAAAACGTGCTTCACCCAAATAAATACTTTGCTGCGATTATTTGAAATTCTGACAATATGAACAATAAATATCATGGTTCAGTCAAGCAGGCAATTTACTATTATTTTTTTGTTCAGGTGGTTTTCATCGGAGATACGTCAGATTATGTTCCTGTGCCTTCTCTACGATCCATAAATCCTCAGACTGCCGAAGATGATATAGACTGGCAACATCCATTGGACACGTGGGATAGGGAATATCGAAGATTCCGATTCAACAACACGAGAGTTCAACGTAAGTAAAAAAAAAATCTCCACGGCGGGGAATCGAACCCCGGTCTCCCGCGTGACAGGCGGGGATACTGACCACTATACTACCGAGGACTTATCCGTCTACCTGAAATTTTTAAATATATACCTCGAGAAATAACTTAACCGATGATAATTGAATATTGATAGTGATTTGCGAATAAATAAAACAATATTGAAAATATTCATTGGAAAAAAATTATACGAACATCAATAAATCTATAAAAATAGGTATTTTTATGTGTATGCTTCAAACGTAAATGAGTAGGTACCTACATAATATTTCCAATCAAGAAATGGAGAAAACACAGCATTATTTAATATTCCAGTAAGCATGCAAAAATTTGAATAAATACAACAATGCTGATGAGTCGACTGCGGAATCGGGACTTCTATTGAAACTGAAGGAGAAACTTGAGTCGAAACTGCATACCTACGTAATAGGTAAACGTATACATAGTTACCTAAACCTACCTATATAAATATGTATATAGGTATAAATAAATGGCATTAGGCATTCAAAGAAAGTTACCTAATAGATAAATACATAAGTAAATAAATACTCTACTCTCAGTTTCCCATGACGGTATCCATGTACAGTATACTGTAGACATGATTTTTCGAGATAAAAAATAAATTGTGCTAACTATGATCCAAAACATAGCCTTAATTGAAATTAAGTAGGTACATTAGTACTCTTAATTGATATATTCAAATAACACCATCTAGTCCATATCATACAGGGCGTGCTGAAATTACTATTATTTTCATTGGGTAAGAAGTAGTCAAAAGTTCATTTTTTCAAAAGAAACCCCCTGTATATTACTCGGTAAATTGAAAGATGGTGAAAAATGCTTCAAGATGATATACATGTACCTATACCTAAATCGTCGAATTTTCTTAATGAAGCCGTTTTTGTGGAAAAATAGTTATTCACGTTTTACCTACAAGTGTTGAAAGTGGCATTTTATTTTGTGAGTGGGGATTATTGCAAAACGAGCGTCAGCAAGTGGAGCAAACCCACGAGCAAAATAAAATCACTTTTAACAAATGTATCATACAATACAATATAGTAGGTTTCAGGGTACATGGTATTGGCCGAGAATTGGGCTAAACGATTATAATAAAACCAATTAGACCCGAATTAAATAAAGGGAGGGAGACCCAATTTTACACGACACTACACAATGAGACTAAATCAAGTACCTAGGTACCTAGTTTATTGCAGTTGATAAGCCAATACCATTTAGAGTGAAATATACTATACCCTGAAGTCCTCAGGAATAATTAAATATCACTCAAAGAACACATGAAAAAATAATCTCATTTTGGTGTCAAATAGTTCCCTTTATATCCATATTTTCAAGTAACTGATGTTACATGTTACTTGACTTCGTGAGGTTAGCTATAGATAATACTAACTCAAATAATATTAGACGGGGAAGTACGAGTCTCTCAGGATAAATTTACCGACCCAATATGAACGGCATTCGATTATAATCAATCATATGTGGAGGCTGCAGTTATCTTCCTTATAGATTTTGTATTTTTTTGATAAATGACAAATTATCTCCTCTCAAGTTAATTCCTAGCAAATAATTCCAAAAATCATCTTCTGCCACTGAAAAATTGAAAGGTATATACCAATTACCACTGTGCCCTAAGTAAGTATATCAAAGAATACCTACCAATAGTTCAAATGAATTTCATCCTTAGAAGTCTGTTTCTGTTTTTCCGTTAAACGGTATAGGTATTTTTTCTGCTATTATTCAACATACATGTTTCGCCCTATATATTGGAATCTAGTGATTACTAACCGTACGAAAGTTGTGCAGAGAGACGGCAGTTATCAATTTTTCCGGAGCCATAAAAGATCAGTGTCAATGTCAGTGTTCTCGATCCCATGTATGTGAAATTGGAGGAAAAATGTTGTTGAAGTAAATTCATCAATGGTCACAAATCACAAATGTTCTTACTAATAGTTCAAATGATTCTAACTACATTTTCAAATGAATTTCAGCCTTAGGAGTCGAGTTATCTGTTTTATGCAATCAATTAAAACTGATCAATTCAAATACAACATTGTACAATTTCAATAGCCATTTCACCATTTGCGATTATTAAAAACGTTATAGGTATTTTTCTATTATCAACATACATGTTGAAGCAAGTATTGCCCTCTATATTGTAATTACTACACTAACCGTATGAACGTTGTATTGCAGAGAGACGGCAGTTACCTATTTTTCCGAAGACATAAAAGATCAGTTGTCTGGGTGTGAAATTGTAGGAAAAATTATGTTAAAGTAAAATTATTTTAACACAAATGTTCTCATATCATAAAAGAAGAGATAGATTTTCACCCAATTTTAATAACTTACCAGTGAAAGTGGAATCAAGTGTAACAGAAGTAATATAAATGATCACCATATATTGCTTAAAGACGAAAATGATGACAATTGCATAGTAATAAAAAATTTACGGATATAAAAACATCGTGAATTAACACTTGTTAGAAATTATGAAAACTTCTTGATTTGGAAGAAAATAATTATTATACCAGCGAGCAGTTTATAAATCAAGTTATGAAATGTATATGTATATGAAGGTAATTATACAATAAATTGGATGATCATCTCACTAATACTATGAACGTAAAATGCTCAAACAAATAATGTGACATGACTGAAATATGGGAACTAAATAGAAAATTATTCTTTGTTCGTTTTAAAGAATTGTTGAAAAAAAGGATTGCAAAATTTTCAACAGTTGGTTGCTGGGGATGGTACATATTATTTCCGTTTAATAGTAAACAACGCCTACACAAACAAATTCTAGAAAACAAACTTTTTCTCAATAAGAAATGTATACGATTACCGACACAATCTGAAACACCACAATGTCTTAACCGACATTTATTTTTTTGTTTAAATGAATACATATGTTTTGAATAAATTAATAATATGCACGTATTCGATTTTTAAAGACCGTCCTTAACAATTACCTTCAAATACTAATGCTGAAACTTGAAATTGTCATCTTGTGCTTAAAAAATGATGTAACTTTCATCTAGGAAAAACATTTTTTGACTCCTATTTCACAATGTCAACTACTTCTACCATACAGACAGAAGTTCATGTCTGCTAATATCATTGATAACCTATTCCTTAAATAAACATATTGTAAGTAACCAGCTACTAACTATAGTATGTATTGTGAACTAAGTATGATTAATTTAATGATGGTCTTCAGTGGTAGCGTCAGATATTTACCGAGAGAAGGTTGCGATCAACTAACGGTAAGCGAAATATAATCAAGAGATCATATCCTGATCACATCACTCGCTACAGTTTGGATCAGTTAAGACCCTACTGAAGACAATTTGAATTGAGTTACCATGTCAATAGATAACATAACTCTGAACTATAAGTAGGTAAGCTTATTTAACGCCATCTCTCGAGGAAAACCCAATACTTCATAGGAACATTCTCTCTCTAAAATTGAGAGAGAAATCAACGGGTGATGGCGCCAGTGTGTTTTACATGCAAAGTTGAGACAAAACAGCTGCGCTGATAAAACTTTGAATTTTTCGATTTTACCTGAGAACTTTCATAACTATACTTTTGGCTGACAAATATATTTTCCTGCCTTACTCTTCTTACTTGATAAAATATACTTTCCTAAAAGGAATGAGAAGCTTGCTTGAGAATAAATACTGAAAAACATTTGCTTAGTTCAACAAAAATAGCACAGAATCAAGCAACAAAATATCGAAAACGTACCTATAGATTATGAATTTAGGAAATTCTAAATGAACACCAGTCGGTCTGTCCATACCCTAAATGCTCGAAGAAGTAGGTATGCAATGTTGCCTAATTTTAGTGCTAGTAGGTATGCTTGGGTTTTTCCTATAAGTTGGATCAACACTGTTATACCTATCTGTTCCTCAAGAATTACGAATGTTCAAATGAAGAAAATGTATCGTAAATGTTTCAAAACATTTACTTTGTTTTTTTTACATAATGTTGCCAAAAAATAGACTTTATTCTAGAATTATGTGCAGAACCAAATCACTTTTCTTATTCAATAACGTACTACATACCCTTTCATCAGAGATTCTAATCTATTGTGAAATTACTTATTTTAAAATACATTATTTAAAGAAATCAGAAAATTTGAATTATGACCTGAAAACGAATGAAAAATAGGATGGCCATCAAGTCCGCATCTCATGGGATGTGATTTTATGAATAGTTTTGATGAATAACAAAAAATTAGTAGGTAATGAAGAAAAGAGAATTGAAACATTCTATGTTTTTTACCACTTTTATTTGTAACTAACGTTACTACTGCAGTTTCGCCCTATACAAACTTATACATTAAAGTACCTATAGTTTAATGTGTAAGTTTGAAAATGTTTAGTTTAATGTATAAGTTGGAAAATGTCCTTAAAAGGACGAAACTGCAGTAACGTTAGTTACAAAATAAAAGTTTCAATTCTCTTTTCTTCTTTATGATTTCCTACCACGTAGTAACAGCTACATCCATCAATTTATTAAAAAATTAGTAGTTACGTGCTATTTGAATTAAAAAAAAACATGAGTGGGGTTATTTCTATTTTTTGAGAACCTATCCATAAAAATGCAAAACGAAACAACATCATATAGAAAAATGAAAATACATTTTCAAAATACTGTTTTTGGCTACAAAATATATTTACAAAAACTTTGAGGGTGGTGAATTGTTTTCGATGAGACATCCAACACATTTTACATGCAATGTAAATGTCAGTATCTCATAGTATCGGAAACATGGAAAGCATAGTGCATATTTGAGAAGTGTAATAGAAAGTATTTTTTTTTTAATAAATTAAGGGACGTAGCTGTTGCTATTACGTGGTAGGAGATCATCATAAAAAATGAGAAATAAAACTTCCTGTCTTTATACCACTTGTATGTCCCTTATAGGTTATAGGACATACAAGTGATATAAAAAAAAATATGAAGTTTTATTTCTCATTTTTAGAAGGTATATTCTTTCAAATCATCCGCTTATAAAATCATATCCGTAATTGAAAATTTAAAATTTTCGACTCGAAATTTGAACCTAAAATAGAAATTTCGACATATCAATTAGAATTCTCAAGAGCCAAATTTTGTGGAAACTTCTGCCATTCCGTATTTCAGGGTTTGGGATTCTATAAGATATCGGAAAGGAATTTATAACAAATAATATATAATTAAACATATGAGCATAATTATACACATTACACATATTATAGACGTACGACGAAGTTTATTCAGCGTGTAATGACTTTATTATGAATAGATTTTTTAAATAAACCACTCAGAATACCTCGTATCCATCCTCATTGGATATATCCAGTGAGTGAACGATCATCGTTGACAAATATACACGTAAATGCATATTGTCTGCCTCACGCTCAGAACACGAGGTTTCAACTCGTCATCATGGTTGCGACAACTCTACATTTGAGTAGAGAGTATGCGAAGATCTACTACAGAAATGATCCTGTGAAGTATGATCTTACCGTTGAACGGATTTTCAAATGTATTTGAAGGTTTCTTGCGAAGTAATCTTAGTATAGTGGAAGTGCTGCCATCTCTCAACAAAAAGCTGTTTCAACTTTCATAGACAATGCTTCAGCGCCATTGCACAGTAAAATAAAACGTCATTGAGAAGCAGCGCGAATAGTCATAGAATTGACTTCATGAATTGAAAAAGCGGAAAAAATGTAAATGTGTGTTTTGAAATATCGTTTGGTTTTTGTTTACAAACTTTGACTTACATTGATAAATACAATATTATACGGGATGTTCTGTAAGTGGTGATTTCAATCTCAATTGGTTGTCTTTTTTTGAAAAAAAAATCATAAAAACTTTGTCTTAACTTTCTTTGTTTTCAGAAAAGCAGCATGCAGCAAACAGATTTTTTGCATAAATTAGAAGAGACTTGAACAAGGGCGTTTCCAGCGAAGGGCAGAGGGGGCTGCTGCTCCCCCTGTAAGCTCAAAAATAAAAAGATAATTGAAATAAAATCACAATTGACAGAAAGACATAATAGAAAATGAATCACAGAGCCATCTGACTTGAAATAGTTGAAGTAAACCTGAAGAGCTCTCACTATAATCAGTGCACTCAAGCACGCCAGAGGGTTCTGTAGCGTCACTTTGCCAGTGGTGTCTCTCGAACACTTACACACACACTAGAAACAATTTCTCTTTCTATCTATCTTTTTCCACTTATATACAAGCATGACCGACGACCGCGTTGAGTTCAGTGTAGTACAAGTACTGAGTACTTGTACTAAACAAATAAGAAAACAGTTTGCGAGTTGGTAAATTAAACTGTGATATTGTGATACACATAAGTTATACTACGGTCGATTGTCGAAACGTGGATTTCATAGGAGACCAGATTCTGCGAAATCTGCGTATCAGTAGCAGAACTGGACCTGTGGCTTAACTTATGGAGGAAAAAAAGTTCAACTGATGGCAAATTGAAGGATATTGAAGTAATTGACCTTTTAAATGAAGCCAATGTTTTTCTCCGCCATGAGGCAAGCTCTTTCAATTCTGATTGCAATTCCACCAGTGACGGCTCGTGCATTGGAGAACAGGGGAGGCTAAAGTCATAAAGACTATATACACACAGAAAATCCCGTCGGAGGCACATACATTTTTTGGGGTACCACACCTATTTACAGCAAAATCCGTAATTCGACCGATTTTCCCTAACCTGATTAATTAAAGAAATTATGGCCTCTTTTTGAGCTGTATCTAAAGCTGTTGCTATATTTTGTTTGCTAAACAATTTTAATTTACAAGACGAAAATATATGCTCCTTAGATTTAAAATGTCTTTCTGTAGAACGAGGTAAATTTTTCAAATCGGTTGTTTTATACATGAGCTATTATTTCAAACTGCCAAATAAAATGTGTAATTTAATTTTGTTCATAAAATATTATAAAGACAGAATGAAATAAAATACGATACATGTCACCTACCGGACTTAAACGTAAAATACTACCCAGTCATCAACACCAGCGCCCAACGTTCAGCAAGTTCTGTTGGATTTGATATAACAGCATGCAGCAAAAAACAGAACATAACATAATTTTATGTTGAGCATATTAGTCACACTCGATGTAAATATTAATTTTTATTACAAATTCGCTGGTAGGTACGTCACTGTCCCCAACACTTTCAGTACTTATAACTTATAGTTGCAGTTGAAGTTTCATTTATATTACTTAGATATTCAATAAAATAGCCCTCAATGTTAATCTGCATCCTATATTTTCCTTCTGAAAATAAATCACCACACTCCTTTATTCTAGCTAGAGTGTAAGATCACTTAAAAAAATGGAATATTTTTATTACAATCAAATAAGTACTGTTCGCCCTTACGGTGGCGCCGACCCTGGGTATTTGGGATAAATTAAGCATTCATTCTTCCCCGCAAACCAGTAATGTATATCTATCCGAAATATTTTCCCCTAGGAAAAAACTCCCGAAGAATATTTTTGACTACTAGAAATATTTTGATCTTTTTAAAACTTTTTTGTATAGATTATTCACATTTGGATCGCTCTTTACACGAGTGCAGATCTCGGGAATTATATATTTTAGCGGTAGATGGCGTGTTGTTAACCACAACGCCTTACATGTTTTTTCACAGTTTAAGTCGATAGGAACTGCGGAGTTTTTTATTTCGTTATCCCTTATCATTTACCGGCCCTTGGATAAGATCCAAGTAATTTATGGAGGGTTGTAGCTCAGTATGGTCTTTGGCTCTCTACTGGGGTTATGGGGGCTTGCTCCACCTCCGTCGTGGGTTGTCCCGACAATGTAGTTCTTTCGGGATCGGCTCATTTATAAAACCCAAACATACCAATTATTTTCAATATTATTAAACTGTTGGCCATATTCGGACACTAAGCAAACTGAAAGTAAGTCGTGAAATTGCCACATTACAAAGATTCATTGGAAAGTGCGGTAAAAATTTTTGCAAAAATGTTATAACGGAAACTGTAGTGAACTGCTAGGGCGAGAGCTCTGCGCTTACGATGTTATATGCCTCGCATAGGTTACAGACACAATACATTTCACTATTATGATAACCTGATTTTAACCTACATGTGTGTAGAATTAACGTAAATTTTCAATGCAATCGTTTTACGGTTCAAGTAGTATTTATAAATCAAGTTTCAGACAATTTTTTTTTTTCGAAATTATCAATATTTCGTGCCATCATCATTTCCGTTGTTACCATTTGTTGAAATGTGTGCGCCTATTACATGTACCTACCTCTGTTAACTACAAAAGTTATGGGTAGATGGCGTGATTTGTTGAACGCAACGCGTTGCATATTCTTACACAGTCTCACTCGATAGCACCCGGTGAACTGACTATTTTCTTTATCGCTTCTCGGCCCTTGGCTAAGATCAAAGTGTAGTATCTGTTCTTATCAGCTTAATATCTGATACGCCCCGCATGCGGGGCCAGTATATTAAACTTATTTTTGGAGTTTGATGGAGGGTTAGGGGCTTGCTCCTCCTCCGTCGCGGGTTGGCCCGGCATTGCAGTACCGCCGGGATCGGCCCATTTTAATAAATCTAAACATAATAACTAGGAAAGAATTACGTGACTTGCCCTAATGTTACTGTAATTTCGCTGGAATACGTAAAAAAGAACTTGCATTATGAAGTTATAAGTAAACAAGTGTTGTATAAGCACATTTTTACATTTAATGATTTTTGATTGTATAAGCAAACTACAAGGAATCTGCCTGTTTCGTTTTCATTGTTTTACCCCCTATATAGCTGATCTTACCATATATTAACTTCAGTGTCACTATTTTTCGGGTTTGAGGCGCCGTCGATTTGTGGAATTTCTTGACATTTCACTGCGAGTATGATAATGACACTCTTAGATCAAAAAGCCGGTCATAATGTGACATGANCATTGAAAATGGAGTAGTATCACTGTTTCAAGTGCAAGACCTACCTAGGAAAAGAAAGTATAAAGTTGGAAAATGAATTGCAACTACCTACCTACAAATCAACAACCACGAAATTTTACCTATTAGTTGAGTGAACAATCGCGAATCGCAAGTCAATCATTGTTTAGGTCGATCCACTTTCCACTGTTTCCCGTTTTAATATCATGAGAATAAACATTGTATTCACAACTATTAAAATACGTATTTCTTTCAGATATTGAAGCGGAATGTCAAGATGATTACATGAAAATAAGAGTAGGATTCAATGGAACATTTAGCGGTTTAGTCTACTCTGCAGGTGGGTAATCATCCATAATTAAGTTACAAAGGCTAAAAGTACCTCAGTCGCCCTTCTAAAAAGATTTTGTGAACGAGCTCCAAGTACGATATAAAGAAACAGCAAAATTTTCAATTGTTGTACTTGTCACCAGAAAATCCAACTCATGATCTAAACTAAACGAAACAATGATTATAGGTACTGTTTGTTAAAAAAATTAGGTGAATTTTCATTTTTCTCAAAAAATATTTTTTGGTGAAAGCGGAAAGTTGTAACGATAATTACAAAACCTTTACATTTTTTGCCCTCTATTCCTTCTTAGTTGATGGAAGTGAAGTGGTCATATTAAGCAATCTTTGCTCTTTGCTCATTTTGTAATGATGAATATCTACTACCTAGGTAATTTCGAAATATTAGATATTTGATTTATTTATAATTTATAGGTTACGCCTACGACCCGGATTGTATGTATATAAATGGAACAGGAAGAGACTATTACGAATTTTTCATTCAGTTAAACAGATGTGGAACATTGGGAAAGAATACACACAGTGAAGAAAATAGAAAAACGCCAACAGTAAGTTTTCTAACCGGTCTATTATATCAATATTGTTTGGTATCAGCCCGGGTAGCTCAGTCGGTAGAGCATTGGACTTTTAATCCAAGGGTCCAGGGTTCAAGTCCCTGCTCGGGCGGTATTTTTTTTTCGAGTAATAGTCGTCTGTATTGCACTGGTTACAAGAAATATAATGGGAATATAATGACCATCTTTTTTTCAGAAAAACTTTATGTGGAACACAGTTACTGTTCAATACAATCCACTGATTGAAGAGGAATATGACGAACATTTCAAAGTGACTTGCGAATATGGATACGACTTTTGGAAAACTGTTACCTTTCCATTTCTAGACGTTGAGTAAGTAGTCAATACGTTATGTATTGCAGTGACTGAATCATACTTTAAGTTTTTGGTTTGATGTCTTTTTTGAATACAGATTTACTCTTCCTATTAATTTTCACTTGAAGCAAGATTTCCTTCAGACAATTTATTTCAATGTTGAAATACATTCCATATCGTCTTTGTATTCATTTCCTCTGTACTCAAATACAAATCCAATTTTAAAAATGATTATTCGATATTTTGAAAAATGAGAAATAAAACTTCCTATGTTTTTATACCACTTGTAACTAACGGAACATAGGAAGTTTTATTTCTCATTTTTCATGATGACATCCTACCACGTAGTAACGGCTACATCCATCAATTTATTCGCTATTTCTTACAGGTATTACTATCTGTTGTTTCACGTTCATCTGCAAAAGGCACCCGATGCAAATTGTAGCCTTTGGTGATTCTGTCAAAAAGCTACAAAAGTGGCTAAAAGGTATAATCGACCACTATAGCCGGATGGATTGCATATAGACTTGTGCACATTGCCAATTGCACAAATCAATTTAATGCAGAGTGCAACACACTGTTGGTTGACACTGGAAGTCACAGCATTCTGGAAATGACCTCTGACTTTATGCCTCCAACTGTCAACTACGAACTGCCTTATGAAATACTGTTTCCGAGTAGAGAGGACTGGAGGAAACAGATAGTTGTTGGTTCAGAGATGGATCAAAAACACCTTCAGGTTCTGGTGCAGGTATTTTCAGTCGCAGACCCAGGACAGAGATATCAACCTGCCCAGGAACCTATGCGACTGTACTTTAAGCGGAAATTTACGCTACTGAATTGTGTGCGGAGAGATTGAAAGAATCCAACCACATACACAAGTCAATAAAAATATTCTCGGACAGTCAAGCGGCGTTGGAAGCTCTTGGCTCCTACCGAACAACGTCTAAATTGGTGGCAAATTGCCAAAATCGATAGGAAGACTTAACAGATTGTCTCTGATCTGGATTCCTGACCATACTGGCCTGGAAGGCAATGAGGCTGCTGACTCCTTACAACGGAGGTGGCTGCAAGCAGTTTCAATGGACCAGAACCTTTCATTGGCATCGCTAGGCTTTGCCAAACAAAGATTGAACACCTGGATGGCAAGAAGATTTATGGACTTCTGGATTGGCTCACTCCAAGGCGTTTATTCACCCTTCGAAGCTTGAAACCAAACAGTTGTTGAACTATAGTAGCCATCTCACAGATCACTGTCGTCTGAATCATCAGATGCAGAGACTCGGACTGTCGGAAGACAGACAGGTTTTCAGAGTTTGGCAGAGCCGTCATCTGACCTGAAAGACCACTCACCATATAAACTAATCGGCTTCGTTAAGAAGCTGGGTTTATTTGTCGAGTGTAAATAGGTGTGAGCCACAATAAATCCTTGCGAGTTGCGGTGGAGGGTCGAATAGACCCACTCACTTTGGGCCCAACCTAATCTAACTTATAATCTACCACAACAATTTACTTACATAGGAACAAATCTGATATTTTCATGTCTACAAATCATTCAGTGCAAATAACGATTGATCTACAAAATTGGCAGAATAACCCCCGCAGGAATAGGGTCATTTTCTGAGTAAATCCGATGATTCAGAAAATTGCCTTGAAGAATCGGTTTAACGAAACGAGGCGTGAAGTCACCAAATATATAAAATGAAGAGCCCCGCTATAAATCACCATTATTTTTAGACGTTTCAGTGTAAAGTTCAATTATTTATTGATTGTTTGTATTCATCTGGCTATATTCTGGAGGTGTGGAGGATTAAAAAGTCCCAAAAAAGTAGTGTATAAGTATAGGTATGGATGGGTGTGTATAAGCAGATCATTGTAATTATTTAACCTGAAATGAACCAAAAAAATGGACTTGTTTTTGTTGCAAGGACCGTTTCATTGTAAATACATCAAATTCATTTCAAAGTGATAAGTAAATGCATTTGTACCTATTATTGAATAAAGTGGACTAGAAGATACCAATACACTTGAATGAATCGTTTCACTTGTATTTCCCATTTTGCTGCGGAAAAAATTGAAAACTTCAGAAACGCTTTCGATCATTGAATTTGATGAAAATTCTCTTTTATTTGGATAGCGTTTTTGTAAAATAAACTTCACGAGACCATGAATATTGTTATATCACTGTCAATCTCAGTCACCAAGTCATTTGCCACTTTTACTTTTGGAATTATTAATTTTTGAGAGACTGAAACTATTAAATATTTCAGAGTAGCAACTGGAAATCCAGTGGTGTTCACTTTAACCCCTCCGGAATGTTACATGGAAATCAGATATGGATACGGCACTACAGGAAACAGAGTGACAGGCCCCGTGAGAGTAGGAGATCCACTCACATTAATAATTTATATGAGAAGCAAATATGGTAAGTGAATTTCAGCATCTGTTTGCTCCGGCCTGGTCACCAGCTTGAGCTAGATAATACTCTTGTCTCGATCTATACACTGTCTTTCTCACACAACACAAAAATCTGTCATTCAAGAAAAGACGACTAGCCATGAGCTAGTTGAAAAACAGGCAACTTTTTTGTTAAATATTCTGTTTCTTCTCGAGTTAGTTTTTGTTGAACTTATTGAAAGTTTTTGAAGATGTTATTTCACGATTATCTTACAGATGGATTCGACATTGTGGTCAACGATTGCTACGCCCACAATGGAGCCACGAAGAAAATTCAACTGATTGACGAGTACGGGTAAGGCGTTAAAACGTAAAAGTAGATTGGAGTCGTATACGAATTCTGTTTCAATTTTCAGATGTCCGGTCGATGACAAATTAATCTCGAGATTTCGGGGTTCTTGGTCAGACTCTGGGGTGTACGAAACTCAGGTCTTCGCTTATATGAAGACGTTCCGTTTCACAGGATCTCCGGCACTATACATCGAATGCGATGTGAGAATGTGCCACGGAAGGTGTCCGGTAGGTGTTTTCTTTCACAATATGCCAAAGAAAAATGTATATTTAATTCGGGTAGAGTACAGTGGCGGTTTTCATTAATGTTAAAATTCTCAGAAAGTTTCTTCAATGAGTAAAACACGTTGTCCGTTATTATATAGCCATTTAGCTGCGTGTGTATGATTTAATGCAAAAATATGTCCAATAATTTAGTGTCTTCTATTTCATTGCCTACTATTTATATTTTAGTTTAGATATTTTCGATGTGAAGCATTTATAGCCGCCCGAAAAGCCACTTGCTGGCGTGGCGACGGGTCACCATGCGCAAGCGACTGTGCGATTATCTAGCCACTGGTTCTGCGTTACGCTATCTCTCTCGCCACACTAAGCTCGGATATACTCTTCTTCCACTTTTCGTTATTCTGAACATTTTCTCTTTTCCTCCTGATTTCTTTTCTTCTTCTTCTGTATTTCTTTCAGTAGTCTGATCTTCATGTTTCCCGGATTTTGATACTATTTCCTTTTTTCGTTTAGATAACGTAATGCTTTCATCTATGGATAGTCCCAAGGGAATTAATCTTTGTAGTGGACGAATTAGTTCGCCCTTATTCACTTTTATTCGTTGTACTCTTGTTATATTATTTCTACCTGGGAAAATATCCAAAATTCTTGATTAACATTTTTTCATGTATATTTCAATTGCATATTTTTTATAAATATTTCAGTATCCAGCAATCATCACAGGGGCCACAAAATATTATTATTGATGTTTCACATCTGACATCAGGCATCCCGTGACGGCCACAATTGTTTTTTCTTAAAACGACGCAACATCCTCGAAACTGATTCGAATTAATACTTCTTGATCAATTGGTTTTGAGAAGAAGTGTTTTGGTAAATAAAAAGTCTTGATATGCGGTGAATATCCTAACAGTAACGTCAGTGATTCTTCTTTCCCATTGGTAGATAATGGCGGGTGTATGAGAGTTTCATAATGAATTGGTTAATAGGGCAGATGATAAAATAATAATGAATTTGCAGAAGCAATACCATGATCTATATGAACTCCATTAAAGAGATGAAAGCAAAAATTTACTTCAATTACTGAGCGAAAAGAAAATGGAATATTTTACAAACTATTGAACTGCTCAGAACCATCATATCTTGTATCTGAAGCCGTATGTATTTCGGAGATCTACAGAAATATGGAAGTTGCAGTTGGAAAATAAAGATTATATACATCCACCATCGAATCTCTATATGTCAATATTTTAATATCATGATCATGAAACCTTCATGAAAAAATTAATTGATATTGGTGGAATCATATTCATGGTTTGCTACTTATTGTGTTGAAAGAAATTCGTGAATTCAACAAATCACTGAAAAACATCAATTGTGCAGTCCGACATTATCAGAAATAGGATAATCACTGTTTACCATTGATATGACTTCAGTTTATACAAGTTTTACTATATTCAACATAAATTGTTAAAATATACCATGCAGTAATATTTGATAGTGAAATGGTAAATAAAATGGAAAGATTTCGGTCCGTATGTAGGTACGTACAGTACAGTACAGTCTTTTCTGAAATATCATGTTATTCGATAAAAACTCAAAGCAATTCAAACCTTATTACGAGTTCAAGTAACAAAAACTTTTGAGTCAATTTTTTGAAATAACGAAAAATGAATGTGAAAATTTCTCATTAATTCCTTTATATTACTTTTCTGAGTACGGCCCTGCTGTAATTCAATTACAATTGAAAGGGACACGTTAGCAATCAATAAGAATACTATAAAACATATTTAAACAACTGGAAATAGTTTCAAAGAGAAGATGAATTGGATAGAGAATTAGTAATGAAATGAAACTGAAATAACAACAATAAATGAGTAATCACTGTTTGCTTTTCCAAAATCCTCTAGCCGTTCATTTTCTGAAGCAGAAAGATAAAAACTATTAATTTTCAACACTAAATAATTGTAGGAAATGTAAGTAAATGTCAGATGAATTGATATTCCGTATCGTAACAATAAGTAATATATAAGAGAGGATTTCAGATGAAAAGTTTCCATATTTTATGCAATTTATTGTACTTTCAAGTAATTAGGTGGGTAAATATAAAATTATTTCCGAACATACGTTACACAAATGTATTTTTATACTATCAGTAGGTAGTAGAAACTTTATATAACTTCAATAACTGCATTCAACTGATAGCAAGATTTGCAGCAGGACCGTACTCAAAAGAATAGTATAATTATTTCTTGATGGATTTTCAGAATGAAAAGTTAGAATTCGGATGAAATAAAATAAAATAGGTATTTGGGGGTCATTGGATATGTAGAATATTGAGAAGAAATGCAATAAAGAAGTTTTTTTGGTTTTCATTATTTCAAGAAATAACCTAAATGAAAGATAGATAAGAATAAAATAGCATTTTGAAAAATGAGATATAAAACTTTCTATGTTTTTTACCACTTTTATTTGTAACTAATATTACTGCAGTTTCGTCCTTCAGGGATATTTTCTAATAATTATAATAAACTTGAAAATTTCCCTGGAGTAACATTATAGTTACAAATGAAAATGCCACGTAAGCTACATCCATCAATTTATTAAAATAGCATACTTTAATTTTTTCAAATATTCCACCTTTTATAAAATTCCTGTGGACAAATGACTCATTGACAGAAACTGTAGAAACTCATTTTTACAAAATGTATTCTGAAAATATACAATTTACCAGGGTTAGGTTTCAATTTTGTTGCTAAGTAATAAACTATGGCTGTCATTCTGCAGCTTTCCTCACAACAATCAAGATTAGAGTGGTGTGAAACCTAGAACTGTTTTTTGAAGGATTTGAACAAACCTTTTTTACACAATTATTGCTCGAAAGAATTTATCCTGATAATAAATAACGTTTCTTGTTTTTTGTAGAGCCAACCATGCCATTGGCGAAACGTTAAAACTGTGAGAAAAAGATCTATCGATGCCAAACCGAACACAACAATCGCTCCAACCATTCCCGCCCTTTCGGAAAATGTGAATTTGTTCCAGTCCCTTAGAGTTCTGCAGGAAGGTGAATCAGATGAAGAAAGAAACATATCTGTTACAAGTAAGGTCCTCTCTACATAACCTAAATAAAATGTGTTGTATTCCATTAGAAGTTTGAGATGGAGTGAAATTATCAAATAATGTTTCACATGAAAGTTTTTTTATTATGGTAACCGAGCGGTTTGGAAGTTATGCCAAAAAATAACGTCGAAAAGCTGATCAATATAACCGTCCTCATTTTCAATGAAAACTCAGTTTTAAGAGAATGTTTTGCGATGAAAATTTTTCAAAATTGTAGCGTTTTCATTACCAGATTTAAGTTGACCAATCTTTTTAATGCTGTAGTATTAAACTTCCTTAAGGGATTTTTATATTACACTACACAACACTCACACATTTCACTTCAATCCTAGTATAGGTATCCAGAAGTGAGCACTACCACTACCAGTACCAACCCTAATTATGAAATACTAATGATCGTCATAAAGTTTCGTTCATCTAGTAGTCAGTAAGAGAGTAAATGCCATAAACACCATACGGAAGCGCAGTAGTCTTCGTCAGAAGAGATGTCATCGTCCTAACTTACCGTTGTTCAGGTGTCGTCTCAATAGACCAGTGAGTTTCCCTGTTATTGTTCCGAACCAATCCCCGTTTTATTGAAGTTCTTCGGTTCTCTTCTCAGTTGGTCTCTTTATAAAGCTTCCTTTGACTAACCGCCAACATAAACTCTTCCAGAATGTCGAGAAATTGCTCCAGGATATCTTCCGTTGCTCCTAGTATCATGATCGGAAGGAACGGTGGTGTTTTTTTCGGGATTATTTTGAAAGTCCGGCTCGGCTTCCAGGAAGTGGTCAGCGTCTCAATGACAGAGGTGTTGTTACTGTTGATAGTCCGGAGGGCGTACTTGCTATGGAGTTACTGACATTTGATGGTCTTAGAGTGAAAGTTGCTTGCACATGCCTGATGATCCCCAGTGATTTTCCCTTTTATTGTTCTGAACCAATCCCCGCTTTGTTGAGACAGTTCTTCGGTTCTCTTCTCTGATGGTCCCTTTATGAAGGTTCCTCTAACTTACCGCCAACATAAACTCTTCCAGAATGACGAAAAATTGCTCCAGGATGTCCTCCGTTGCTCCCAGTATCATGGTCGGAGGGAACGGTGGTGTTTTTTCTTGGCTTCAAGGGAGTCGTCAGCGTCTCCATGACAGAGGTGTTGTTACTGTTGATAGTCCGGTGGGCGTACTTGCTCTGGAGTTTCTGACATTTGATGGTCTTAGAAAGAAAGTTGCTTGCACATGCCTGATCATCCCCAGTGAGTTGCCCTTTTATTGTTCTGAACCAATTGCCGTTTTGTTGAAGCAGTTCTTCGGTTCCCTTCTCGGGTGGTCCTTTATAAAACTTCCTCTAACTAACCGCCAACGCCAACTCTTCAAGAATGTCGAGGAATTGCTCCAGGATGTCCTCTGTTACTCCCAGTATCATGGTCGGAGGGAACAGTGATTTTTTTCTTGGACTTTTCAGAAGATCCGGCTCAGCTTCCAGAGGTGTTGTTGCTGTTGGTAGTCCGGTGGGCGTACTTGCTCTGGAGTTTCTGGCAGTTGATGGTCCTAGAGGGGAAGTTCATTGTACATGCCTGATGGTTTTCTGTGACTTCCCACTGGATGCTACTTTGGGCGACTCAGTTTCATAAATATAGGGACTTGTACTTAGGCCCTAAAAGGCTTTCCACTGGGGTTATTTTTTTTCACTAGTTACTTCACTTCATTTTGGACACTTCTGTTCAGGACCATATTTTTGTTGTTGATATCAGCTCCTCCCTTTGATTAAGTGAACATGAGCTGTTTATAAATGTTTGTTACAATACTCGTACCTGATATTGTGAGCAATGAACGTTATTTTCATTAAATTCGAATTGAACTGTCTTATGTGATTTATCATATTTTTCATGTTTCAGACCAGGCCACGGACGCAAACAGCGTATGCATGAAAACAGGATGGTTTTCCGCACTTCTAGCTCTGGGAGGAGGTGCTATGTGTCTCTTAGGTGGAGCTCTTCTAGCAACATGTACCAGGATGAGAAAGGTCTCAATAGATAAAGTGTTGACGAGTAGCCAATTCAACGGTTACATGAACCACAGGGGTAGCATAAATTGAGTATATTCCTAGACACTTGTGATAAGCGCTTGAAGGTGTGATGCCTTCTAACCTTCAAAAATGATTGAATTTTGAGTCCATTCACACCGACGAATAACCATCACTTCAAGAGGATTCGCAAATGAGTGAATCTGATGATATTTTGTAAAGAAACTAGTTTGGTGCTGTGCAACTGATGCAAAAATTGGACATTAATACTAGGTTATAGTTTTTTTAGATGTAATACTGATACCGTTATGGTCAATCAATAGCTCAATGTGAGGAAGACAGAATACTCAAATAGTGAGTTCAGATGTGACATTTATTTCTGAGTCATTTCGATATCCCTACTCTAATAATGGTGCCGTGGCAAAACGAATGAACATTGTATTTGCACTTTCTTGCTCTCATTGTAATGTCAATCATGATAAACTGAGCGCCCGATCAATATAATATTTTATTTCATACTGTCCCTGCATATATGTAGCTGTAAGAAATGTCTTGCAGTCTCATACTTTCAGTAGTAACTGAATGAACACGGTTTTTCTGTTTCTGTTCCTTCCAATAACAACAAGAAATGTCCTTGATGACAAGTATCTATAATGTTTTTCGAAGAAGTCTCAACATCATATGAACCTGTTCGAGCTACTTACACCTAATTCGTAACAATTACTCATATGTTTGAAGAAATTTCTTTCGAAAGAGAACTTACGATGACTATCATCTATATCATTTTGGAGAATATAATCACAGTAAAAATGTCATTGAAAAATCTTCGGCGGACCATCGTTGATGGTAGGAACGACGGCTGTCTCCTATGCAAGAGAGAGCAAATAATAGAAAAATTAAAAAGCCAGTTGACGTCCACCAAATTTCATAACATAGTTATAAAAGACGTGATAAGTAGAATTTGAATCCCCTGTTGTGAAATGAATTTTTCGAAAAAGACTCTGCCTTTACCAGAACAAAAATGGTGTCTCTCGACATGCATTTCACTAATCAAATTAGCATAATCAGGAAGATGACATCTCCTGATAAGAAAAGGCGCTTCAAGAGACAGCATTTTTGTTCTGGTGAAAGAACAATGTTTCCAAGTCATATATGAGTCATATCTGAAATTATCAATTGGGAATAAATTGGTCTATCACTGGCCACGGGCTAAAGGTGCTAACCACTACGAGCTTGATACATATAAGTTATTTTTCATTCAGCGAAATTCTGCACTATAAGATATATACTCGTACATAATATAGGTTAGGTTAGGTTAAAAGTGAGTGGGTCTATTCGATCCTTCACCGCAACCCACAAGAGTTTATTGTGGCTCACACCTTTTGACACTCGACGAAATAAACCCAGCTTCCTAAAGAAGCCGATCAGTTTATATGTAGAGTGATCTTTCAGGTCAGATGGTAAGAGTGCGGCTCTGCCAAACTCTGAAACCCTGATTCGGTCCCCAGCGGGGCAAGCATAAAGTATGTGCTCTGCTGTTTCATCATTTTCCAAACAGAGGCGACACACACTGTCTTCCGACAGTCTGAGTCTCTGCATCTGATGATTCAGACGACGACATGTCGTAAAATGACAATTTTCTTTTGGAATAAACACAGAAATCGCTCAATTACCGTGTGAAGTATACCTAAAATGTTGACCAATAGGATTGATTGTGATCGTTGGGATCATTTTTGCGTATTTTATTAAATTTTTATTTGGAGTTACTTGGAAACTAGATGAATTAAATGTGGTTTCATTGGAATGGACAGACAGTATGAAATAAAATATACGGTATGGAATTAAGGTGTTCACACAGTACTAGTTCAAGTCTAGAAACTGGTAATGAAGGTAATGCATCTGTAGCTCATAGTGATTTAAATAAATAACTATAGTATTAAGTACTCCACTAGATTTAGAGCACACGTACTCGGAGAATTCGATTTATTTATTTCATGATGAAAACACAATTTTAAATTTTACAACTTTATACTACTTTTCATTTCTACTTTATGTTAGTGTTTCATGTACTTCTAGTAGAATCTTCATTCATCTTCTCCGGTACGTTTGCAAAAAAAATTAGATATTTTTTGAAATCTTCTTGATTACATGAAATATCGACAAGTCCCGTGTATATAACAAAATTCTTTAAATAAAAAATATATTCATGACGTTTGGTGTATTATTAGTTAATTTCTTGATGGTTCTAGATGTGAGTCCTGAAGAAACAAAAAATATAAAAATAATAATAATTTTCCCTTATCAGCACTAGTTTGGGTAAATCACTTTCAACTTTTTCTATCTAGGTTATAATAAACTGTGCTGTCTTTTTTCGCTGAGTCATAAGCTGAGAATTTTAGGTTCAGCCGGAGTGAAGAAAATTCATGAGTTGCTCGAAAGTAATACAAACAAAGAAATGTTTTGAGTTTCTTCTTCTTCATCTTCACACAAAAAATGTGGGAAACTTCCAAAGGGAGGAAGAAAGCAATTAACTTGAAAAAAAGTAGTTGTTTCGAAAGGGTTTTCTCTTCCAGTTTGTATCTAAAAGTAACTTCATATCTTTTTGAAAAGTTTATTTTGAAATCTATTTCTTCCGTCCTTTTTGGGAGTTTCCTGCATTTTTGTATGAAGATGAAAAAGTAGAAAGCCTAAATATTTCTTTCCCAAAAAATAATCTCTCCTAAAAATATACCTACCCCTTTCAATTTGAATACGTTCCAATAATTCGAGTTTAATATTAATCGCATCCTCAAGATGAACGTAATTGGCAACTAAAGTAAAGTGATTTCTCTTACTTGGACGGTCATTTTTGTTCTGTCGTTCATCAATTTTTGTTCTCAACCTCGTCTCATCGTGAATCATGAATGTTAATCAATTTTTCATGTACAGAATTTCGTTTTACTTTTGATCAGATGTCATAACTATAAGTATTCCTAATTATATCCGTATGTTTTGTGAGGTTTAAGGGCCGTCTGCCGTAGGTATTTATCCTGGTTGATGGGTGTGGGGGGGGGGCAAATTCGTAAAACGGGGCGGTCACTAAAAATGAAATCAATGAAATTGGCATGCACAAAATAATAACAGCTTAAATGAGTTCTTGTTTTCCCAAAGGGATCTTTGGGCAAACAATTCATTCATGGTTCAGTCTAGAACTAGTGATGGTACATATATGGCAGGTCGAAACAGCGTTAGTGTTATCGTGTTTAGATTATTGTCCACCAAAATTCGGTTTCGTTATACCTATTCACTATGCAGCAGTTCTTCAAATCTTCATGTTCCTCGGGCAGACTTTCAAGTTCACCCAAGTTTTGCACAATATATCTAAAACCGCTATTCCGGCTAACAAAAAATATCAGAGATATTTAGCTTACCTGGAATATTTTGAATCCTTTGTAAGCAATGGATCGGACTGCATTGAAACGACGAAAAGAAGTTTTAAAATCCGGCTCTTTGAACAAAAGAGAAATTTTCGCCTCGGACATATCGACATAACAGCTGGAAGAGACCTAAGTGCTAGATAGAATTTAGAACTAAACTATACAATACAAATATATAGACAATTCCAACCGAAAAGAAGGGATTATTCACATAAATGAAGTTTGGTTTTTGGTTATCGGCACTCAACAAAATACGAATCAGGCCTATCATCCCAACCAATAGGAACGAAGTCATGCTTCCATACATATGAAATCAAAACGCGTGCAATCGCTGTTGATCATAAAGTGATATAGTGCTGTGACAAATCTGAAGCCACCCCTGACCGATATGTCAGCCAGCGCACAAATACATGACATCACCACAAAAGGAATGCAGTCGGCAACCGCCGGTTAAACTCTTGTTGAGTACCGAAACGACTAAAGAATTCTAGAACGATCGTTACCGATATATAAGGCCAGCTTCTCATCCCAAGAGGGCAGTTGAGTTCAGAAAGCGAATCGAGCGGTTAAACTATGAATTTAAATAGTGGAGATAAATTAAACGTTAGTTGCTAAGTGTTGAATATAAACTAGTAACTAGTTTGTGATTAGTGAAATATTGTTGAAAATAAATTTGTTTAAGACAGTTGATTCTTCAATTTGTCACAGTCACAGTGTGACGTCATCGTTTCAACGCCAGAATGAATGTATTCGAATCACTCACGAATACGTTTTGAATACATGAGCGCCAGAAAACGCCTCACAGTCGCACCGATTACACTATTTGTCAATCCGTCATAGCTGAAATGCGTTCTAGTTTCTAGTTTTAAACACACAACACACTGAAATATCTGTAAGTTAAGGACCACAGATTTCCAAGATATAAATATGAATTATGTGTTTTTCTCACAAAGTTTCCGCACCGCTGGTGATATCACTCGACCAAATGTTCATTAACTGGATCCTCCTTTCGATGTGTATAAGAGATTCATCAGCTGGCAATGACAACATGATTTAGACTTTGACAATTGATTTTGACAACTCGGGGTTTAGTGACAATTAATTGTTGTTGTTGTTGTTATCTTCCATCGTTTTTTATCATATGTAGTTTCTGTGTAGCACATCTCACTTTTCTTTATTAAAAACAAACCACAAAGATTACAGAAAAAGTACACGCCTCTTCACTTATTTCTTGATACAAAAGAAAAGATAACAATTTAATTTTCAGTTTGCTGCAAAATGTCTGCATCCCAGGAAAATCGCCCAGAGCTTTATGAAGAAGTCAAACTTTATCACAATGCTAGGGAACGAGAAAAGTTGGTAAAAATTAAATGCAATACTTTTTCATTGTAACACTTTTTTCTAGATTTGATAGCCTGGCTGATCTCTATGCCGTGATAAACACCCTTCAACATTTAGAAAAAGCTTACATTAGGGATTGTGTTACTCCTAAAGAATATACAGGAGCATGTAGCAAGCTGTTGGTGCAGTACAAAGCAGCCTTTCGACAAGTTAAGGGAGAAGACTTTCCAACAGTTGATACTTTTGTAAAGAAATATCGAGTGAGTTTATTCATTTAAAATGCACATTTGCACTCTGCAAATGTACCAACTTGGCACAGCCATCGTTTCCATTCCTGGTAGTTGAATCAATCATCTGATTGGGAGATATTAGTTTTTTATTTTTTCAGCTTGATTGTCCAGCTGCTTTAGAACGTATCAAGGAAGATCGTCCAATAACAATAAAGGATGACAAAGGCAACACAAGCAGATGTATAGCAGATATTGTATCACTATTCATAACAATTATGGACAAATTGAGGTTGGAGATTCGAGCTATGGATGACTTGCATCCGGAGTTGAGGGATTTGGTGGATACAATGAACAGACTTAGTATTCTGCCCTCAAATTTTGAGGGAAAAGAGAAAGTTTCGGAATGGCTAGCTACGCTTAATTCTATGCAGGCTTCTGATGAATTATCAGAATCTCAAGTTAGGCAGTTGCTTTTTGATCTGGAGAGTTCGTATGCCTCCTTCAATAAAGTACTACATGAGAGTAATTGAGAAATGCAATTTTATTTTTTAGAGGATATTATATGTGGATTGTGAATCCAGAATTGGATTTTATTGGTGTATGAATCAAAAAAATACAAACTAGCTTAAAATAATATTGTTTGATGTTAAGTTTTAACAAAACATTTTGAATCGCGCACCACTGTCATGAAATGAATCAATAATTTTAATTACCCATACATATGTACAACTGAAAATTGGTGAGTTTTTGAACCAATATTATGAATTAATATTGGGTTTTGTCAATTTCGAAATAATGTTCTATCTACTAAAAAAATTTATCACATCTTCCTGGAGATACAACATCCATCTGGAGTCTTACACTCAGGCTGCCTGTTGAACAGAGCACTTGAAGGATGTATGTGAAGAACTTTACCATCTACCAAACTTCTGATCTTTCTTAAGGGTCTTTCTTACTGACATTTCTGAAGAATCCCAGATTGCTTTTTGAATCATATCGGTATGCCTTTCTGCAAATACAACATCCATCTGGAGCCTATTCATGACTCCCAATAGTTGCTTTCGCACATACATGGAACACTGTCATCCTCACTGGTATACATCCGATGTTTCACCGTAAGACACTTACCTTATCGGCTCTTCAGTACCAAATCTGAATAACACTCAAAAAACACTCAATCCATTCATAAAATTACGATTTTTTGTCACGAATGAGTTAATCTACTCATGTTATCGATGACAGTACGTAATGACATTCATTTTCTTATTTGATTCAATCCCAGCCATAGGAATCTTGTTAAACTGAATGGAGTATATTTTTAGTAGAGATTAGTTTCTGGAAAATACTTTCTAAATATATTTCTCATAAATAGTGTTTTGTAAAGGTACACAAAATTCATAGACCTTTTATTACTATATATGTACAAAATAAAAAAATGAATTGAAAAAAATAATTTTATTATTCTTCTGACTCTTGATACTTTCCCAAGCATTGTCCTCTACATACTTATTGTATAATGGCTCCAGCCTCTGGTTTTTCTTGAATTTGGACAGCTTTGTTGGGTACCAGAATTTGAAGAATGCAGGGGCATATTCAACTAGCCATTTTGGATCGATGGTAGTTACTTCTGTCATATATTCTTTTGTTGTTTGTACAAGCTCGTGATATATTACGCTGAAAATATATGTATATATCAGTTTTCCAACAAGAATATCTCTTCTGTCAATAAAAGGCAAACAAAAAAGAAGACCTCTGTAGAGTAGAGGCAAAATGTGATTCAATTTAATTTTAAATGAGAGTGGACAACTGAAGTAATCTTAGACCTTTCTTATTAAAGATGTGTTGTGGCTTCATAATAGTCAAATGGATTCATGCATTTCTAAGCCAAATGGTGTGAAACTCTCAAAAGCTAACAAATATGGAAATGTGTTGAAGGGAATTCAAGAAGTACCTGGTCATTTTCAAAGTAACATCTTTGTTAGTTAGTAAATCAGAATACATGTTCATCAGTGTTTCTTCATCGATTCTCTAGAACAGCGAGATTATGTTATGATGAGAATATTATTGATTATATAAAGTGAAAGGAAATTTGAACATAAAGCTTATGTGAAAGTTGTAATAGATAAAATGAAACAAAAAATTATTAGCATTAAATGAAAAGAGTGTACTCCATTTTCAGGTGAATAAAGAAATTTAACAGAGTGCAAAATAAATTAAATATTTTGTAGGAACAAGCAAACATGATATTGAGACGTTTCAATAGAAAAAAAAAGATACGAAAAATGTAAGTTGAATTCAACATGCCATTTTGAGAAAGTGTTACCTTAAACGCGAATGATTTCTGAGAAAATTGTTCTTCAAATTAATAAAAAATTTTTTGGAAACTCTTGTTTCATTTCTATGTTGAATGTCTCAAAAATGTATATTACATCATCATAATTTAACTTGAATGAAAAAAAGGATTGTGTAGCCTCAGTGAATGTTTCTGATATCATATTATAATAGTAATAACTCCAGGTATGCTTCAATCAACTTTTACGAAACTTTGTGTGTGTCAGCTAGAAAAAAAAGATTTATTTCCAATCGAAAATTTGTCAGATATTACATAATACAAAAATTGAACAAAGGTCAGTTGTTTTGTCGTTTATTAGGGGATGGATTACACTTCTGATGCTCATGAAAACATGTCTGAAAAAAAATTTCACGATTTTTTTTAGCTGAAAATTTGTCAGGTGATATATAGTTTATGTAATATTTCAAATAATAATATAATAAATGTATAGACGGTCCCTTATAGTGGTTGAAGTTGAAATCATCTGCAATGAATGATTTAGCATGTCATTAGTTGCTTTCTTCGTATAGCAGTGGATCGGATGTTTGTCTCTAGACCTTAGTGCCTATTCGAGTTGTTACATATTTTGTTGGTAGGCTTGCCTATCATTTGTGACTTATGACATTTTCTTCATAACGGTAGTCAAAATTGTTTTTGTTTTCAAAATGTGGTGCATGGTGTATTAAATTCATAAATCGGTGAGTAGATCTGTTTTGTGGATCTGGCTATAAACAATCTTCGAGTTCAAACTAAAATTTTGATATAAAAATAAACGGAATCGTTTACAGAATGAGAAAGCATTTCCAATATTTTAGCGGGATTTTTTCTTTGTATACTCGTCGTGAAGCAGGTTGGCCAACCCACACCCGGAAGTAAATTCCCAGTTTAGATGGTCCAGTGAATAATGGAGATGAAAATTTATAAATTTTTCTCTTGTCAAATAGTGTGATATTATGAGTGATTGAAAGTAACAATCAGGTGCAACTGCCTAGATAACAATTGGATATTTTGGGAAAGTTTTACGTAATCGGTAATCCTGATCAATATTCTGTGACCTGCTCAAAGCTACAAGTTAATTTTGGTAAGGGAAATGCGTAATTCAAAATCATTCTGTTGAATTACTATGCACCAAAATTAATCTCTGACAATATACCCAATTCAAATATTTATTGTAGGAACATACAGTAGGAATGTATCGCTTAGGTCATGTCCTATACAGAACTGGAGCATGGTTATCAGGGTTTGCGTAAAGCAACCAGACCTACACATTTCTATGTAGGGGCAGTAAGTTTATTTAGAATTAGTTTCTTTCTTCGCTGACCTCCGCACATTCTTGCCTTTTTTTAGTTCCTTGCACTTTTTGTTGATGGACGCTAGTAGTAGACAAACAGGAGGAGAAATCCCATCAGTTGTTATTGAACATGTAGACAGTCCCATGCTTTCACCTTTACACTGGCACGGGGTACTATTATGAAATGGGTTTTCATGCATATAATAACTTGATTTTCTGGTTTGGAGATTTACACTAACATCTGCTTGGATTGTCGTCCTTATTGTTTTGATATGGTACTTTTGAAGTAACAGTAGTACAATAAGTCACTGAATGGTGGGAATCAATTGCTTCTTTTTTTTTTTCAAATCACATTGGGACGTTAGTCTGTTGGCTCAGCGTGAGTGGTTCATTGTACTCATTCAATCGACCGCTATGTGAAACAATGGTTCAAGCCCTACTGCTGGATGATTGATTTTCACTGTGTATTGTCTAACCTGTACTAGGAATCACACGTTGAAAGCTGAGATTTAATTTATCTTTAGCTCACACTGGTTTTGACTTCTAGGGGTTGTGGTAGGGGAGGGTGAGAGCTGGTTAATGAAAAAACAGATTGTCAAAAATGTTTAACCTTGAGCCTTGAGCACATTATTAGCATTAAATCTATCTTCTAAGTTGTTTCAGAGATCATTAAAAACCCTCATAACAGCCAGCCTAAATGAGAATATTTTAAAAACTCACAAGAGTCATCTAAGAATCATAAACAACTCTTAATGTAACTTTATATCTATATCTTACACTGAATCAACTGGATCCTAAGACAACTAGATGTAATAAACTCTAACAAAGTATAACTGGTCTAGGCAGATTAAATACCTCAAACTTTCAGACTACAACATAGCTTGGTCTAACATTGATCATGAATTATTGAGAAAGAACTTTACTTTTCAGTTCAAACTCCAGCAAGAAGACAGGTCCTATTTTCCAAAGTATTACAGAGAATTAACTAATAACTCACGAAATTAGCTAGTAATTAGAATGCCAATACAGTTTATATGAATCTCAGTATTGAAAATACTGAAACTGACAATATTTAGAAATATAAAAATATGCTCCAAGAAGATCAACCAACATAACACCAAACCACAGACACCCTCAGCACAAAATTCTTGAACAGATTTACCATATTCTAAATTGAACCTTTTTTTACTTGAATTATCGCTAATATTAATTACTCTTAAGAAATAATTCATGTAATTTAATATACAGAAGGACCTTGGACAATAGCCTGCAGGATCAATTGAATTTGGTTCAATAAATGACATGTATTATTATTATGAGAGAAAAATTATAAANGTTCCGCATATCTTTATAGAATTGAAGATGAATTTCTGATTTCGTCCGTTTAAACCTAATAATAATAATAATTGTAATTTATTGAACAAAAGTATAATTTTGCTCAACTGGCTATCGACCGAAGTCCTTCCGCCTGTCTCAATATAATATATGAAAATAATAAAAATCATCATTAAATTTGAATTTTTACATTCACAAGATTGAGATATGTTATTCCTGTTCAAAACCAGCACGTGGGTTTCACCAATCAAGTTGGTGTCTTCAGAAGATGACGTAGAATAATCCCTATCTCTAAACAATGATCAATTTATAAATATCTAACAGAGTACACTTCCACTTTTAGAACATCAATGATTTCATGGTTACATATTGACGTGAAAAGTATTTGTGAAAGCTCCTGCAAATTTTTAACAAGAGTAATTCATTTTTACAAGAGTAATTTTTAACAAGTGAATAATGTTTTATTTGAAATACGACCTTTGGCACTGTTCATAGTTTTCGTGTCACACTTTGGTTTTCCCAGTTTTTCGAAAGCATCCAAAAGTGTAGTCTTATGTACCAATCCCAACAGTTTTAGAGTGTTCATTTATTCTATGGCTGTTGTTGAAGGCCTGTTGAGCGACGTTAGGCTTTTCTGGTTTCTGAAATTGGATGTGTGTTGTGTGATCTTTGAAACGAGTTTTATTAGCTCTTTTTGTCTCATCAATATATTTTCATCAAAGTTCATCTTGTTCAATTGATCAACAGGAATGAAATCTGAATCTTGTATGTGTACAAACTCAAACTTTAATGATACGATTTTTTTCTTTTCGCTCTATTTCCACCTCCTCAAGCGGCGGAAAATTCGTAAGTGATGCTTATCTTCAATAATCGATCACTTGGAAAAACAGATCTCAATTTTGTAGATGTACAAATTTAATTTTCTGTGATATGATTTCCACCCCCTCAGACGACGTAGAAAACTCCGACGTGATGGTTATCTTGTAGCATCGACCACCGTGTCAAAGTTAATTTTTCGTGATACAAATTTCCAAAATATTTCCACCCTAAACCCCTTTAGACGACCTGTGAAACTAGGACCCTTCACTTATTCCACGAAGAAAATCATTATGCATAAATGCAATTATGATTTCCTAATGGTTAAGTGATTATGCATTTATATGTTTTCTTTTGATTCACTTTACATGGACTATTTAGTTGTTTTTATTCAAGGATCCCTATTTAAATGAAATAAATTACCTTGGGATCATTAAGACAAATCACAAAATCCTCCTCGACGCATTTTAGGAAGATGCCCTCCTATGGCTTCAGTATATTAATCGCGCCAAAAATCGTACCATCTTCCGGAATAGTATCTACAGTAGCCATATTGGCATACTAAAGAGATTCCACTTGATTGGTTGACGAAGTTGTTGAATGTTCATGGTGCAAAATTCCCACCCCAATGCCCACGGCGACCTTTCCATTTGAGGGCACCACTAAGTCAACTATACCTGACGGTACATTATATATATTTAGCCATGCAAGTTTATTTACGCCTCTGTTTGGGTCTGGGTTCGCAAGTTGCTCCTGCTTCTGTTGCTTGGTGCAAGGCAGATTTATAGGGCATCTATCTCCTCCAGAAACTTGGTTACTTGATGACCCTTAGAAGGTTACACGAATAGATTTAGGGAAAGGAGGTCCACCATGGCGGTGTTCCATATTACCTTGACAAAACTTTCTACAACGATAAAGAGTCCAGTATCTTGAAGGTTACCTTACGAGTTCTGTTAAAAAAATAAGGTGAATGTTCAAATTTCGCGGGCTACGTATTTTCGATTAGCGATTTCTTATGTTGCTACACTCGTCTCAAAAATATGTTGAATATCTTCACATTTTCTGCTGTTTAGCATGTTTAGTGGATGTTTAGTGCATCAAATTTTGTGTAAAAAATAGAATTGAGTGCTCAAAAACAGTTGAAATATTGACAGTGGGATACGGTGATTGTACTCAGAGTTAGAAAAATGTTTACAAGTGGTTCAAGTTTTTCACAGAAAGTCGAGAATACGTGAATGACGATGCTCGCCCAAGACACGCCAGCACATAAACAACCGATGAAAATGTTGAGAAAGTGAAGAAAATTATTATGGAGAATCCTCGAATCATTATTAGAGAAGTTGCTGAGGATGTCGACATATCGGTTGGCTCATGCCATGAAATTTTTTCGGAGATTTTGGGTATTTTTTAAATGTGTAGTGGAGTTCTTGCCGCATGGACGTATTGGCAGTAAGGAGTATTATTTGTGTATTTATTTATTTATTTGTAATACAATACTCTACAGGACATAGCCCAATTACAGAGCAGGAAATAACAGAGTATAATAAATACATCACAAGCAAGTGACTATAAAGATTACAAGTTTATATTTATTGTAGGTGACAAAACAATTATTTTAGGAAGTGGGATTTTATATCTGACAATTTGCACCTAAATATATCTAAATCATCGCTGACAGAGTTTGTAACTTTACACATGGTATGGATTGGAGAATTCTCCAATTGATAATTTTATAGGTTAGTACAACACTATAATATTCACGCCTTTTTTCGAGACTGAAAAAGTTATGCTTTTGTAGCAATTCAGAGTGGGTTGTTCCTATTGGAGGATAAATGCCATCGGTTTTTAGGCTTAGCAGTTTTAAAAATCGTCGTTGAATTGCTTCTATTCTATCAATATGATATTGATAAAAGGGGCTCCACACAACTGACGCGTATTGTAACTTTGATCTTATGAAAGCATAGAATAAAGTTTTTAAGGTCAAAGTTTTATTGAAATTACTACTGTTATGTGCAATTAATCCGTACAAATGACAGGAGGAGGTTACAACATTATCGATATGCCTATTAAATGATAGTGGAGTGTCAAATGTGACACCAAGATCAGTAAATGTTTCTGGTCTCACCAGGGAAACGTTTTCTATTGAATAATCAAAGATCAAGATGTTCGTTTATAAACTGCAGGATATGACCAAGGTTTAACGACAAGTTATTTCGATAACACCATTCTACAACCCGTCCTACGTTTGCTGAGAGGTTCACACAATCATCTGTGTTCTCATCGAGGCAGTATAGTTTTATATCATCGGCATACAAAAGGAAATACACATCTATAACATCTGCAATATCATTAATGACAATTTTGAAGAGCAACGGTCCCAGATTCGACCCTTGTGGAACACCGGAAGAAGGATGTAGATAATCCAAAGGCTACTAGTTTGTTTAGTAGAATGCTATGGTTAAGCCTGTCGAAGGCCTTAGAAAAGTCTATGTAAATAACATCAGTTTGGGCCCTATTGACAATAGATTCAGCAATATGTTGGGTTACAGTCAGAAGATTGGTGATCGTTGAACGATTTTTCATAAAACCGTGTTGGTTTATACTTATATTGCAACTTACATGCCAATATATAACTCGCTCCAGCAGAATCTCAAAGACCTTTGCAAAGTTGCAAATAATAGAGATAGGCCAATAATTTCAAATATCTCGTCTATCTCCTTTCTTGAAAATGGTATTGTAGCCGATCTTAGGCAGATATTAATTACTATAGATAGAGGACGAGCAAGCAGAAGTGCACAATCTTTTAGGATGAAAGCTAGAAGTTATGTGCCGCTTGCGATAA